GGTAAGAGGTACTGTTGTAATAGTTAGAGAGAAATTAAGGGAAATGGGTATGGGGGGGGTGTGGTGGTATTTGGATGGGGTGTGGGTGAGTTAGTTGTAATTTTAGGAGTGGGTGAAAAGGTATAGTATTTGAGGTATGTTAAATTGGGTATGTAATTGGATAAGATGATTTACGGAAAATGTAAAGAAATATTTTAGGTAGGATAAGGGAAGTTGGTGGATGCGTTAACTTGTGATGAATATGTGTAAGTTGGTAAAGGTGGTGATGATGTAGAAATGATTGGTAGAGTATAGGGTATTGGTAATCATTGTTGAAGGTTATAGAATGTGTAGGGGAGGGTGGATGTGGGGATTTTTTTGAATGGTAGGGATATTTTTTATTTTGTATAGGGGGGTGGGGAGTTATTGGATGTGGTTAGAAAATTGGTGGGTTGTTGGGAAGGGAGTGATTAGTTATTGGTTAGGGGGAGTAAGATTGGTTATTTAAGGTGAGGGGGAATTTTAAATTATGTGATAATGATAAATTTGATATAATGAAAAATAGATATGGTGATGGGGGGGATATGAAGCGGTGGGGAGGTTTTTCCGGACTGGGAAACTGGTCAAAGTTGAGGGAAAGATGGATGGTGCTAAATACAGGGATATTCTTGAGCAAAACCTGTACCACTCTGTGCGTGATTTGAGGCTAGGACGGAGGTTCACCTTCCAGCAGGACAACGACCCCAAACACACTGCTACACACTTTGATTTAAGGGGAACATGTAAATGTGTTGGAATGGCCTTGTCAAAGCCCAGACCTTAATCCAATAGAAAATCTGTGGTCAGACTTAAAGATTGCTGTTCACAAGCGCAAACCATCCAACTTGAAGGAGCTGGAGCAGTTTTGCAAGGAGGAATGGGCAAACATCCCAGTGGTAAGATGTAGCAAGCTTATAGAGACCTATCCAAAGAGACTTGGAGCTGTGACTGCCGTAAAAGGTGGCTCTGCAAAGTATTGACTTTAGGGGTGAATAGTTATGCACATTTTGTCCTATTTGTTGTTTGCTTCACAATAAAAAAAAGACAACATCTTCAAAGTTATGGCATGTCCTGTAAATTAACTGATGCAAATCCTCAAACAATCCATGTGAATTCCAGGTTGTGAGGCAGGTTATATGTCTCTGTGGCACTAGAATATACAGGATTTTGCTTCTTTGTTATGGTAAAGCTAGAAATGTTGGACTTGCTTCTTTATTATGCTAGCTTTAGCAAAACAACGAAGCAAGTATTAAATTGTTAGCTTTAGCATAATAAAGAAGTATGCTAACATCTGTACATTAGCATCATGAGGCTCTGGGACACAGTGACCCATGTGCTTCTACGTCCCACAGTCTGACATTATTCAGATTATTATTGCTCGCTGTAATCTTATCTTCGTGCAGAGTTGACAAATTCTGGAGGTGTTCGTCGCCAGGCCACAGAGACGCCCACACTTCCTCCAGCTCCTGCAGCAGAGCCTCATCTCTCCCCGGTCTCCTCCCACTGGGACCGGAACCCTCTCCCATCTGTGCAGGGTCCAGCAGGTCTCTGGTCCCCTCAACTGTCTAATCTCAATCCAGATTATTCTATTCTCACAATATTATTATTATTTTCAGATTGTTACTGAATTGTTATTTTTATTGTGGAATAATTTGCGAGCTACTGTGACAACGCTATTTTGCTTGTGGATCAAAAAAGTCAGAGTCTAAGTCAACGTGCAGTGGCTCTACTCTAAGCTCCTCCTCCTCATTCCCTGACTATGTTCAAATCCAGGTTAAAAACAGTTTAGCTGCTACAACCCAGGGATTATGTCTTTTTAATGCACTGTGATTATTTATGATTTTAAGTGATTTTGTTTCTGTCTTTGAGTTGCCTTGTGAACTGTGCAATACAAATAAATGTGCCTTGCCCGCCTCAGCACCTCTCCTACTGCAGCCGACCTGTATTTTGACTGTGGCTTGTTGATTTACTAATAAATAGATAAACTTTATTGATCCCGAGTGAAAAGACGGTGGTGCCAGCTTCACACAGTCACAGAATAAAATAAGTTATTAAAATATTATCTTTAAAAAGCAGTAGAAACACATTTAGATCGTGGGGATTCTGTGGCCTCTGTGCTGGAGAGTAAGTATGACCACATGCAGGCTCCTCTCACTGCGCTGCCGAACGGAACGTTTTTAAAGCTACAATAGATCTCTGCTCCTTCTACTTTGTGTTACAAAAAGACTGGAAATACCTCAATTTATTTTATTGAATGTGTCTCTAGTCTATCTCTGTTCTCTCTCTAGTCTCTCTCTCTGGTCTCTCTCTCGTCTCTCTCTAGTCTCTCTCTCTAGTCTCTCTCTGGTCTCTCTCTAGTCTCTCTCTAGTCTCTCTCTAGTCTCTCTCTCTAGTCTATCTTTCTAGTCCATCTCTCTAGTCCATCTCTCTAGTCCATCTCTCTAGTCTCTCTCTCTGGTCTCTCTCTGGTCTCTCTCTAGTCTCTCTCTCTGGTCTCTCTCTCGTCTCTCTCTAGTGTCTCTCTCTCTGGTCTCTCTCTCGTCTCTCTCTAGTCTCTCTCTAGTCTCTCTCTTTCTGTTCTCTCATAGTCTCTCTCTCTGGTCTCCCCCTCTAGTCTCTCTCTTTCTCTGGCCTCACTCCCTCTTTAGTCACTCTCTCTCTCTCTCCCTCTAGTCTCTCTCTCTTGTCTCTCTCTAGTCTCTCTTTAGTCACTCTCTCTCTCTCCCTCTAGTCTCTCTCTCTTGTCTCTCTCTTGTCTCTCTCTAGTCTCTCTCTAGTCTCTCTCTCTCTCTCTCTTTCTCTCTACATCTCCATGGGACTCTTTTGCTTGAATAAAAGTTAAATAAAAAGATAAAGTGGAAACCCATCTGTCATCTGGTTGTGATCGGTCGCATTCACAGACTTAGAGATATCCTTGTATTCTTCTTCTTCTTCTGTCTGCGTTTGACAAAAGCTGAGACAGTGACAGGAGCCGAGCTGTCCGACCACATTCACATTCACAACATTTTAGATTTTTTATCCCGACACACACCAGATGCTGTTTCTCTGACTCTGCAATCTACACTGAAGTCTATTATCCCCCAGAGACAGTGCTCATCTCAAACACACATCCTGAAGAGCCAGGACCCCCCCCCCGGTATCACAGGGACAGGAAGCCAGGCCCCTCTCTGGTATCACAGGGACAGGAAGCGGGATCAGAGAGCTGTCAGCAGATCACTAACCAGCCGCTCTCTCGTTGTCAACATTATCGTCGTAGCGTGACTCAAATCTGCAGATGTCAAGAACAGACAGAGCCAAAAGAAATAAAACAGAAGGATGTCCCCAGGACTCAAAAACACACTGGTCTCTTTCTCTGGTTTCTCTCTTTTGTCTTTCTCAATCTGTAGTCTCTCTCTATCTGGTCTCTCTGGTCTCTTCCTCTAGTCTCTTTTTATCTGGTCTCTCCTTCTCAATTCTCTCTGGTCTCTCTCTCTCTGGTCTCTCTATCTCCCTTATCTTCTTCTCTGGCCTCTCTCTGTGGTCTCTGGTCTCGCTGTTTCTCTGGTCCTCTCTAGTCTGTCTCTGGCCTCTGTCTGGTATCCCTCTCTGGTCTATCTCTCTAGTCCCTCTCTCTGGTCTCTTTCTGGTCACTAACCAGCCGCCCTCTCCCTCTATTGTCTCTCTCTCTCTGGTCTCTCTCTGTTCTCTCTCTGGTCTCCCTCTCTGGTCTCCCTCTCTGGTCTCCCTCTCTGGTCTTTCTCTGGTCTCTCTCTCTCTGGTCTCTCTCTGGTCTCTCTCTCTCCGGCCTCTCTCTCTGGTCTCTCTCCAGTCCCTTTCCGGTCTCTCTCTGGTCTTTCTCTGGTCTCTCTCTCTCTGGTCTCTCTCTGGTGTCTCTCTGGTCTCTCTCTCTCCAGTCTCTCTCTGGTCTCTCTCTGGTCTCTCTCTCTCCGGTCTCTCTCCGGTCTCTCTCTGGTCTCTCTCTCTCCGGTCTCTCTCCGGTCTCTCTCTCTGGTCTCTCCGGTCTCTCTCTGGACTCTCTCTGGTCTCTCTCTGGTCTCTCTCTGGTCTCTCTCTCTGGTCTCTCTCTCTGGTCTCTCCGGTCTCGCTCTGGTCTCTCTCTGGTCTCTCTCTCTCCGGTCTCTCTCTCTGGTCTCTCTCTCTCTGGTCTCTCTCTCTCTGGTCTCTCTCTCTCCGGTCTCTCTCTCTGGTCTCTCCGGTCTCGCTCTGGTCTCTCTCTGGTCTCTCTCTCTCCGGTCTCTCTCTCTGGTCTCTCTCCAGTCCCTTTCCGGTCTCTCTCTGGTCTTTCTCTGGTCTCTCTCTCTCTGGTCTCTCTCTGGTGTCTCTCTGGTCTCTCTCTCTCCAGTCTCTCTCTGGTCTCTCTCTGGTCTCTCTCTCCGGTCTCTCTCTCTCCGGTCTCTCTCCGGTCTCTCTCTGGTCTCTCTCTCTCCGGTCTCTCTCCGGTCTCTCTCTGGTCTCTCTCTCTCCGGTCTCTCTCCGGTCTCTCTCTCTGGTCTCTCCGGTCTCTCTCTGGACTCTCTCTGGTCTCTCTCTGGTCTCTCTCTGGTCTCTCTCTCTGGTCTCTCTCTCTGGTCTCTCCGGTCTCGCTCTGGTCTCTCTCTGGTCTCTCTCTCTCCGGTCTCTCTCTCTGGTCTCTCTCTCTCTGGTCTCTCTCTCTCTGGTCTCTCTCTCTCTCCGGTCTCTCTCTCTGGTCTCTCCGGTCTCGCTCTGGTCTCTCTCTGGTCTCTCTCTCTCCGGTCTCTCTCTCTGGTCTCTCTCTCTCTGGTCTCTCTCTCTCCGGTCTCTCTCTCTGGTCTCTCCGGTCTCGCTCTGGTCTCTCTCTGGTCTCTCTCTCTCCTGGTCTCTCTCTCTGGTCTCTCTCTCTCTCTCTCTCTCTCTCTGGTCTCTCTCTGGTCTCGCTCTGGTCTCTCTCTGGTCTCTCTCTGGTCTCTCTCTGGTCTCTCTCTGGTCTCTCTCTCTGGTCTCTCTAGGGTCTCTCTCTGATCTCTCCGGTCTCGCTCTGGTCTCTCTCTGGTCTCTCTCTCTCCGGTCTCTCTCTCTGGTCTCTCTCTCTCTGGTCTCTCTCTCTCTGGTCTCTCTCTCTCCGGTCTCTCTCTCTGGTCTCTCCGGTCTCGCTCTGGTCTCTCTCTGGTCTCTCTCTCTCCGGTCTCTCTCTCTGGTCTCTCTCTCTCTGGTCTCTCTCTCTCTGGTCTCTCTCTCTCCGGTCTCTCTCTCTGGTCTCTCCGGTCTCGCTCTGGTGTCTCTCTGGTCTCTCTCTCTCCGGTCTCTCTCTCTGGTCTCTCTCTCTCTGGTCTCTCTCTGGTCTCTCCGGTCTCGCTCTGGTCTCTCTCTGGTCTCTCTCTCTCCGGTCTCTCTCTCTGGTCTCTCTCTCTCTGGTCTCTCTCTCTCTGGTCTCTCTCTGGTCTCGCTCTGGTCTCTCTCTGGTCTCTCTCTCTGGTCTCTCTCTGGTCTCTCTCTGGTCTCGCTCTGGTCTCTCTCTGGTCTCTCTCTCTCCGGTCTCTCTCTCTGGTCTCTCTCTCTCTGGTCTCTCTCTCTCTGGTCTCTCTCTCTCCGGTCTCTCTCTCTGGTCTCTCCGGTCTCGCTCTGGTCTCTCTCTGGTCTCTCTCTCTCCGGTCTCTCTCTCTGGTCTCTCTCTCTCTGGTCTCTCTCTCTCTGGTCTCTCTCTGGTCTCGCTCTGGTCTCTCTCTGGTCTCTCTCTGGTCTCTCTCTGGTCTCTCTCTAGGGTCTCTCTCTGATCTCTCTCTGATCTCTCTCTGGTCTCTCTCTGGTCTCTCTCTGGTCTCTCTCTGGTCTCTCTCTGGTCTCTCTCTGGTCTCTCTCTGGTCTCTCTCTGGTCTCTCTCTGGTCTCTCTCTGGTCTCTCTCTAGGGTCTCTCTCTGATCTCTCTCTGATCTCTCTCTGGTCTCTCTCTGGTCTCTCTCTGGTCTCTCTCTGGTCTCTCTCTGGTCTCTCTCTGGTCTCTCTCTGGTCTCTCTCTGGTCTCTCTCTGGTCTCTCTCTGGTTTCTCTCTGGTCTCTCTCTGTCAGCAGATCACTAACCAGCCGCTCTCTCGTTGTCAACATTATCGTTGTAGCGTGACTCAAATCTGCAGATATCAAGAACAGACAGAGCCAAAAGCAATAAAACAGAAGGATGTCCCCAGGACTCAGAGACACTGGGGTTTGTTACAGTCAGGGCAACGATTCAAAAACATGGACAGTTTTAAAGACAAGCTCTTCATCTGACAGAGAGAGAGACACAGAGAGAGGAGAGGGGGAGGAGAGAGAGGAGAGAGAGGAGAGGGGGAGGAGAGAGAGGAGAGAGGAGAGGGGGAGGAGAGAGAGGAGAGAGAGGAGAGGGGGAGGAGAGAGAGAGAGAGAGGAGAGAGAGAGAGAGAGAGAGGAGAGGGGGAGGAGAGAGAGGAGAGAGAGAGATAGAGAGAGGGAGGAGAGAGAGAGAGAGACACAGAGAGAGGAGAGGGGGAGGAGAGAGAGGAGAGAGAGGGAGGAGAGAGAGAGGGAGGAGAATGTTGGAGTTTGATGCAAAAGACATCAAACTGCACTGAAGGTCGAATAAACATATATTTTTGTGTCATGAAAAAGTTTAAATTGGATCTGATCTATAAAGTGACGGTTCAGATGAGCGAGACCAGAGCGAGGCCAGAGAGAGACCAGAGAGAGACCAGAGAGAGACCAGAGAGAGACCAGAGAGAGACCAGAGAGAGACCAGAGAGAGACCAGGCAGTGAGAGACCAGAGAAAGACCAGAGAGAGACCAGAGAGAGACCAGAGAGAGACCAGCGAGAGACCAGCGAGAGACCAGGCAGTGAGAGACCAGAGAGAGACCAGAGAGAGACCAGAGAGAGACCAGAGAGAGACCAGAGAGAGACCAGAGAGGACCAGAGAGAGACTAGAGAGAGACCAGAGAGAGACCAGCGAGAGACCAGAGAGAGACCAGAGAGAGAGACCAGAGAGAGACCAGAGAGAGACCAGAGAGAGACCAGAAAGAGACCAGAGCGAGACCAGAGAGAGACCAGAGCGAGACCATAGAGAGACCAGAAAGAGACCAGAGAGAGACCAGCAAGAGACCAGTGAGAGACCAGCGAGAGACCAGGCAGTGAGAGACCAGAGAGAGACCAGAGAGAGACCAGAGAGAGACCAGAGAGAGACCAGAGAGAGACCAGGCAGTGAGAGACCAGAGAGAGACCAGAGAGAGACCAGAGAGAGACCAGCGAGAGACCAGAGAGAGACCAGAGCGAGACCAGAGAGAGACCAGAGAGAGACCAGAGAGAGACCAGAGAGAGACCAGCGAGAGACCAGAGCGAGACCAGAGAGAGACCAGAGAGAGACCAGCGAGAGACCAGGCAGTGAGAGACCAGAGAGAGACCAGAGAGAGACCAGAGAGAGACCAGCGAGAGACCAGCGAGAGACCAGGCAGTGAGAGACCAGAGAGAGACCAGAGAGAGAACAGAGAGAGACCAGAGAGAGACCAGAGAGAGACCAGAGAGAGACCAGAGAGAGACTAGAGAGAGACCAGAGAGAGACCAGCGAGAGACCAGAGAGAGACCAGAGAGAGAGACCAGAGAGAGACCAGAGAGAGACCAGAGAGAGACCAGAAAGAGACCAGAGCGAGACCAGAGAGAGACCAGAGCGAGACCATAGAGAGACCAGAAAGAGACCAGAGAGAGACCAGCAAGAGACCAGTGAGAGACCAGCGAGAGACCAGGCAGTGAGAGACCAGAGAGAGACCAGAGAGAGACCAGAGAGAGACCAGAGAGAGACCAGGCAGTGAGAGACCAGAGAGAGACCAGAGAGAGACCAGAGAGAGACCAGAGAGAGACCAGCGAGAGACCAGAGAGAGACAGAGAGAGAGACCAGAGAGAGACCAGAGAGAGACCAGAGAGAGACCAGAAAGAGACCAGAGCAAGACCAGAGAGAGACCAGAGCGAGACCAGAGAGAGACCAGAGAGAGACCAGAGCGAGACCATAGAGAGACCAGAAAGAGACCAGAGAGAGACCAGCAAGAGACCAGTGAGAGACCAGCGAGAGACCAGGCAGTGAGAGACCAGAGAGAGTCCAGAGAGAGACCAGAGAGAGACCAGAGAGAGACCAGAAAGAGACCAGAGAGAGACCAGACAGAGACCAGACAGAGACCAGACAGAGACCAGTTGCAGTCCTGGTGTAAGAGGCTGTGGTCCTGTGTGTTCAGGGTGGAGAAACCAAGAGGTCGACAGAGAGACTCAGGAGATGAAGATTCAGATCAGAAAACATCGTCATCACTTCCAGATCGAGCAGCATCTGAACTCCTGGAAATACAAAAAATATTTGTTTAGTGTTTCAAATTCTAAGGAGGAAAAAGAGAACATCAGAGGGACTGTGTTTTTAAACAGATCTCTCAATCAGCGACTGACTCATGTGGACCATCTGGAGGATCTTCTGGTACAGAGACAACACATTTACTGCAGCCATCTCAGGTGTGTGTGTGTGTGTGTGTGTGTTTGTGTGTGTATATAATTGTGTGTGTGTGTGTGATGGCATATACATGTGTGTACTGTATATAATTGTGTGTATATAAACACATATACAGTATGGACCAAAAGTTTGGACACACCTTCTCATTCCAAGAGTTTTTTATGTTCATGATTATAAAAGTGTAGATTGAAACTGAAGGCATCAAACCTATGAAGTAACTCATGTGAATTATGTTCGTAGTAAAAAAATATGAACCAAGTGAAAGTATGTGTTTTATTCTGGTTCTTCAAAGTAGCTCCTTTTGCTCTGATACTGCTTCACTCTTGGCATTCTCTGGATGAGCTTCAACAGGACCTGAAATGGTCTTCAACAGTCTGGAAGGAGTTCCCATGATGCTTAGCACTTGGCCCCTTCACTCTGTGGTCCAGCCCCAAAACCATCTGGACTGGGTTCAGGTCCAAAACCATCTGGACTGGGTTCAGATCCAAAATCATCTGGACTGGGTTCAGGTCCAAAACCATCTGGACTGGGTTCAGGTCCAAAACCATCTGGACTGGGTTCAGGTCCAAAACCATCTGGACTGGGTTCAGATCCAAAATCATCTGGACTGGGTTCAGGTCCAAAACCATCTGGACTGGGTTCAGGACCGGTCTCTCTCCTTATTGGTCAAACAGCCCTTACACAGCCTGGTGCGGGTCTACAGCAATAGTCATGAAAAGAACTCAGTGAAGGAGAGAGGGTGTCCACACTTTTGCTCTATACTGTATATACATATATGTGTGTACACATATATGTATATACACATGTATGTGTATAATCAGAACCTCCAAATCCGAGGCCATGGTGCTCGACCGGAAAAAGGTGCCTTGCCCTCTGCAGGTGGGTGGAGAGGTCCTTCCTCAAGTGGAGGAGTTCAAGTATCTCGGGGTCTTGTTCACGAGTGAGGGAAGAATGGAGCGTGAGATTGACAGGCGGATCGGTGCAGCGTGCGCAGTGATGCGGTCGCTGTATCGGACCGTTGTGGTGAAGAGGGAGCAGCGTCTGCAGTCAGAGCTGTATCGGACCGTTGTGGTAAAGAGGGAGCAGCGTCTGCAGTCAGAGCTGTATCGGACCGTTGTGGTAAAGAGGGAGCAGCGTCTGCAGTCAGAGCTGTATCGGACCGTTGTGGTAAAGAGGGAGCAGCGTCTGCAGTCAGAGCTGTATCGGACCGTTGTGGTAAAGAGGGAGCAGCGTCTGCAGTCAGAGCTGTATCGCACCGTTGTGGTAAAGAGGGAGCTGAGCCGAAAGGCAAAGCTCTCAATTTATCGGTCAATCTTCGTTCCCTCCCTCACCTATGGTCATGAGCTTTGGGTAATGACCGAAAGAACGAGATCGCGGATACAAGCGGTCGAAATGAGCTTCCTCCGCAGAGTGGCTGCTCCCTTAGAGATAGGGTGAGGAGCTCAGTCACACGGGAGGAGCTCGGAGTAGAGCCGCTGCTCCTCTACGTCAAGAGGAACCATTTGAGGTGGCTCGGGCATCTGTTCAGGATGCCTCCTGGACGCCTCCCTGGGGAGGTGTTCCGGGCACGTCCCACCGGGAGGAGGCCCCGGGGAAGACCCAGGACACGCTGGAGGGACTATGTCTCTCAGCTGGCCTGGGAACGCCTTGGGGTCCCCCCGGACGAGCTGGAGGAAGTGTGTGTGGATAGGGAAGTCTGGGCGTCTCTGCTTAGACTGCTGCCCCCGCGACCCGGCAACGGATAAAGCGGAAGAAAATGGATGGATGGAGAGACATATATGTGTACACACACACACATATACTGTATGTGTGTGTGTGTACACATATATGTATATACACATATATGTGTGTGTGTGTGTACAGTATATACATGTGTTTACGTGTGTGTGTGTCTAGCTCCAAGACTGCTCGGTTGGAGCTGGAGCAGCAGATCCTGAAGCTCTGTGACGGTGGGAGCTTCACTGCAGAAGAAAAGGCTCAGGTGAAGGAGGTTCTAAAGCAGGACCAGGTCTGTGGATCAACTCTGTTCTACCTCTGGAGCAGAGACCAGAGGAGGAACGGAGACCAGATGTGGACCATGCTGCAGGACCTCAGGGACAAGTCGAGACAGGAATTCAAGAAAGAAGGATATGAGAATGTGAGTGTTGATGACGTCAGGTCCTAAAGTCTGAGACCAACGCTCTTCTTGTGTCCTGCAGCTCCTTGATGACATCCCAGAGCTGTAGTCCAGGGACCAGCACAGTCCAGACCAGAGGAACCCTGGAGCTGGACCAGTTTCTCTGAAATTAAACATATAAACCTTAAACAATAAAGCTGTTTCTCTCAAACCCATGTGTCCTGAATCTGCGTCAGGAGCGAGAATAATAATGTAATTATGTGTTTTTTAAAGCCTATTTTTGAAACTTCTCTCCAAACACGGTGGTGATAAACTACTACTGTAGCCACAGCTGCCCTGGGGCACACTGACAGAAGCGAGGCAACTGGTTGGCACCTGGTGTCTCCCATCACAGGACTAACCAGACCCTGCCCTTTTTTGCTTCAGAGGTTTGAGGGATTTGGCTTCTGGCCACAAGCAGCAGATCTCAAAGTCTGAGTTTCACACACACAGAGACTGAGACTGAGACTAGACAGAAAGATACTTTATTTATCCCCGTAGGAGAAATTCAGGTGTCCAATAGCAGAAAAAAAAAAAAAAATACACAGCAGCAGAGGTGGAGTAGCCTCTGGGTGGAGCAGGACGGGTCACAGCAGCAGAGGTGGAGTAGCCTCTGGGTGGATCAGGACGGGTCAGAGCAGCAGATGTGGAGTAGCCTCTGGGTGGAGCAGGACGGGTCACAGCAGCAGAGGTGGAGTAGCCTCTGGGTGGAGCAGGACGGGCCAGAGCAGCAGAGGTGGAGTAGCCTCTGGGTGGAGCAGGACGGGTTAGAGCAGCAGAGGTTGAGTAGCCTCTGGGTGGAGCAGGACGGGTCACAGCAGCAGAGGTGGAGTAGCCTCTGGGTGGAGCAGGACGGGTCACAGCAGCAGAGGTGGAGTAGCCTCTGGGTGGAGCAGGACGGGTTAGAGCAGCAGAGGTTGAGTAGCCTCTGGGTGGAGCAGGACGGGTCAGAGCAGCAGAGGTGGAGTAGCCTCTGGGTGGAGCAGGACGGGTCACAGCAGCAGAGGTGGAGTAGCCTCTGGGTGGAGCAGGACGGGTCACAGCAGCAGAGGTGGAGTAGCCTCTGGGTGGAGCAGGACGGGTCACAGCAGCAGAGGTGGAGTAGCCTCTGGGTGGAGCAGGACGGGTCACAGCAGCAGAGGTGGAGTAGCCTCTGGGTGGAGCAGGACGGGTCAGAGCAGCAGAGGTGGAGTAGCCTCTGGGTGGTGCAGGACGGGTCACAGCAGCAGAGGTGGAGTAGCCTCTGGGTGGAGCAGGACGGGTCACAGCAGCAGAGGTGGAGTAGCCTCTGGGTGGAGCAGGACGGGTCACAGCAGCAGTGGTGGAGTAGCCTCTGGGTGGAGCAGGACGGGTCACAGCAGCAGAGGTGGAGTAGCCTCTGGGTGGAGCAGGACGGGTCACAGCAGTAAAGGTGGAGTAGCCCCTGGGTGGAGCAGGACGGGTCACAGCAGTAAAGGTGGAGTAGCCTCTGGGTGGAGCAGGACAGGTTACAGCAGTAAAGGTGGAGTAGCCTCTGGGTGGAGCAGCACTCAGACTCGAGGCTGAGAGCAGATCAGTCTTTGGCCCCTGTACCCCGGTCGGACCGCTGCGGCCTCCACCAGAGTTTCCTCGGGTCTTATTCCACGCACTCATTCTCCCAACGGTGGTGCGCCCGGAGCCCAGGGGCCGGGATCCCATCTCACTTTCATTGGGCCACGAGAACTGAGACTGAAACTCGAGACTGAAACTCGAGACTGAAACTCGAGACTGAGACTGAGACTGAGACTGAGTCTGGGACTCGAGATTCGAGACTCTTGCCCAGGGACACAACAACAGCAGACCTGTGTGGGGGGATCAAACCCACAACTGTTGGTTCAAAGACCAATGCTCCACCAACTGAGCCACTCTGTCCCTGTGTCCACTCTGTCCCTGTGTCCACTCTGTCCCTGTGTTCACTCTGTCCCTGTGTTCACTCTGTCCCTGTGTCCACTCTGTCCCTGTGTCCACTCTGTCCCTGTGTTCACTCTGTCCCTGTGTTCACTCTGTCCCTGTGTCCACTCTGTCCCTGTGTTCACTCTGTCCCTGTGTTCACTCTGTCCCTGTGTCCACTCTGTCCCTGTGTTCACTCTGTCCCTGTGTCCACTCTGTCCCTGTGTCCACTCTGTCCCTGTGTTCACTCTGTCCCTGTGTTCACTCTGTCCCTGTGTTCACTCTGTCCCTGTGTCCACTCTGTCCCTGTGTTCACTCTGTCCCTGTGTCCACTCTGTCCCTGTGTCCACTCTGTCCCTGTGTTCACTCTGTCCCTGTGTCCACTCTGTCCCTGTGTCCACTCTGTCCCTGTGTTCCTCTGTCCCTGTGTCCACTCTGTCCCTGTGTCCACTCTGTCCCTGTGTTCACTCTGTCCCTGTGTTCACTCTGTCCCTGTGTCCACTCTGTCCCTGTGTTCACTCTGTCCCTGTGTTCACTCTGTCCCTGTGTCCACTCTGTCCCTGTGTCCACTCTGTCCCTGTGTTCACTCTGTCCCTGTGTTCACTCTGTCCCTGTGTCCACTCTGTCCCTGTGTCCACTCTGTCCCTGTGTCCACTCTGTCCCTGTGTTCAGAATCAGAATCATTTTTATTGCCACGTAAGTAACAGGAGGTCACAGACTTGGAAATTGCTTTGTCTCAGTGCAACAGTCAGAAAGAGATAATAAAAATAAATAATAAAAAACACTTCTAAGGAATACATTTAAAATTAAATTTAAAATACAGTTACAATTACTATTTACAATATACAAGTGCACATGGTGCACACCATGTAAGGTGACAGCAGTACAGTGAAGTAAAGTGACGTACCAGTGGGGCAAAAAAGTATTTAGTCAGCCTCCGATTGTGTAAGTTCTCCCACTTAAAATAATGACAGAGGTCTGTAATGTTCATCATAGGTTCACTTCAACTGTGAGAGACAGAATGTGGAAAAAAATCCAGGAATTCACATTGTAGGATTTTTAAAGAATTTATTTGTAAATTATGGTGGAAAATATGTATTTGGTCAAAAACAAAAATTCAACTCAATACTTGGTAATATAACCTTTGTTGGCAATAACAGAGGTCAAACAATTACTAAAGGTCTTTACCAGGTTTGAACACACAGTAGCTGGTATTTTGGCCCATTCCTCCATGCAGATCTTCTCGAGAGCAGTGAACACAGACTTTCAACTCCCTCAACAGATTGTCAATGGGGTTGAGGTCTGGAGACTGGTGAGGCCACTCCAGGACTTTCAAATGCTTCTTACGGAGCCACTCCTTCGTTGCCCGGGCGGGGTGTTTGGGATCATTGTCATGCTGGAAGACCCAGCCACGTTTCATCTTCAAAGCTCTCACTGATGGAAGGAGGTTTTGGCTCAAAATCTCACAAGACATGGCCCCATTCATTCTTTCCTTAACACGGATCAGTCGTCCTGTCCCCTTAGCAGAAAAACAGCCCCAAAGCATGACGTTTCCACCCCCATGCTTCACAGTAGGTATGGTGTTCTTGGGGTGCAACTCAGTATTCTTCTTCCTCCAAACACGACGAGTTGAGTTTATACCAAACAGTTGTACTTTGGTTTCATCTGACCACATGACATTCTCCCAATCCTCTGCTGTATCATCCATGTGCTCTCTGGCAAACTTCAGACGGGCCTGGATCATCCATGTGCTCTCTGGCAGACTTCAGACGGGCCTGGATCATCCATGTGCTCTCTGGCAAACTTCAGACGGGCCTGGATCATCCATGTGCTCTCTGGCAAACTTCAGACGGGCCTGGATCATCCATGTGCTCTCTGGCAAACTTCAGACGGGCCTGGACATGCACTGGCTTCAGCAGGGGGACACGTCTGGCACTGCAGGATTTGATTCCCTGTCGTCGTAGTGTGTTACTGATGGTAACCTTTGTTACTTTGGTCCCAGCTCTCTGCTGGTCATTCACCAGGTCCCCCCGTGTGGTTCTGGGATATTTGATCACCGTTCTCATGATCATTTTGACCCCACGGGATGAGATCTTGCGTGGAGCCCCAGATCGAGGGAGATTATCAGTGGTCTTGTATGTCTTCCATTTTCTGATAATTGCTCCCACAGTTGATTTGTTCACACCAAGCTGCTTGCCTATTGTAGATTCACTCTTCCCAGTCTGGCGCAGATCTACAATTATTTTCCTGGTGTCCTTCGACAGCTCTTTGGTCTTGGCCATAGTGGAGTTTGGAGTCTGACTGTTTGAGGCTGTGGACAGGTGTCTTTTATACAGATGAGTTCAAACAGGTGCCATTAATACAGGTAACGAGTGGAGGACAGAAGAGCTTCTTAAAGAAGAAGCTACAGGTCTGTGAGAGCCACAGATCTTCCTTGTTTGAAGTGACCAAATACTTATTTTCCACCATCATTTACAAATAAATTCTTTAAAAATCCTACAATGTGAATTCCTGGATTTGTTTTTCACATTCTGTCTCTCACAGTGGAAGTGAACCTATAATGAAAATTACTGACCTCTGTAATTATTTTAAGTGGGAGAACTTGCACAATCGGTGGCTGACTTAGTAAAGTGACATTATAAAGGGCAGTAAAGTGACATTATAAAGGGCAGTAAAGTGACATTATAAAGGGCAGTAAAGTGACATTATAAAGGGCAGTAGGGGACTTCTAGAGGGCGTGGAGGTTAAGAAGTGTTCAACAGCAGAGGGGAAGAAACTGTTCTTGTGGCGGGAGGTTCTAGTCCTGATGGACCGCAGCCTCCTGCCTGAGGGGAGTGGTTGGAATAGTCCATGTGCAGGGTGAGAGGGGAGTGTTGGAATAGTCCATGTGCAGGTGAGAGGGGAGTGGTTGGAACAGTCCATGTGCAGGTGAGAAGGGAGTGTTGGAATAGTCCATGTGCAGGTGAGAGGGGAGTGGTTGGAATAGTCCATGTGCAGGTGAGAGGGGAGTGTTGGAATAGTACATGTGCAGGTGAGAGGGGAGTGGTTGGAATAGTCCATGTGCAGGGTGAGAGGGGAGTGGTTGGAATAGTCCATGTGCAGAGTGAGAGGGGAGTGTTGGAATAGTCCATGTGCAGGGTGAGATGGGAGTGGTTGGAATAGTCCATGTGCAGGGTGAGAGGGGAGTGTTGGAATAGTCCATGTGCAGGTGAGAGGGGAGTGGTTGGAATAGTCCATGTGCAGGGTGAGAGGGAGTGTTGGAATAGTCCATGTGCAGGTGAGAGGGGAGTGGTTGGAATAGTCCATGTGCAGGTGAGAAGGGAGTGTTGGAATAGTCCATGTGCAGGTGAGAGGGGAGTGGTTGGAATAGTCCATGTGCAGGTGAGAGGGGAGTGGTTGGAATAGTCCATGTGCAGGTGAGAGGGGAGTGGTTGGAATAGTCCATGTGCAGGTGAGAGGGGAGTGTTGGAATAGTCCATGTGCAGGTGAGAGGGGAGTGTTTGAATAGTCCATGTGCAGGGTGAGAGGGGAGTGTTGGAATAGTCCATGTGCAGGGTGAGAGGGGAGTGGTTGGAATAGTCCATGTGCAGGTGAGAGGGGAGTGGTTGGAATAGTCCATGTGCAGGTGAGAGGGGAGTGTTGGAATAGTCCATGTGCAGGTGAGAGGGGAGTGGTTGGAATAGTCCATGTGCAGGTGAGAGGGGAGTGGTTGGAATAGTCCATGTGCAGGTGAGAGGGGTCAGCTGTGATACGACCAGCCCGGCCTCGAGCTCGGGCGACGTACAGGTCCTGCAGCGATGGAAGGCTGCGGCCGATCACTTCCTCTGCAGAGCGCACAATGCGCTGTAGTCTCTGTTTGTCCCTGACTGTGGCTCCAGCGAACCACACGGTGATGGAGGAGGTGATGGAGGAGGTGATGAGGAGGTGATGGAGGAGGTGATGGAGGAGGTGATGGAGGGAGGTGATGGAGGAGGTGGTGGAGGAGGTGATGAGGAGGTGATGGAGGAGGTGATGGAGGAGGTGATGGAGGGCGGTGATGGAGGAGGTGGTGGAGGAGGTGATGGAGGAGGTGATGGAGGAGGTGATGGAGAAGCTGGTGGAGGAGGTGATGGAGGAGAAGATGGAGGAGGTGATGGAGGAGGTGATGGAGGGAGGTGATGGAGGAGGTGGTGGAGGAGGTGATGGAGGAGGTGGTGGAGGAGGTGATGAGGAGGTGATGGAGGAGGTGATGGAGGAGGTGATGGAGGGAGGTGATGGAGGAGGTGGTGGAGGAGGTGATGGAGGAGGTGATGGAGGAGGTGATGGAGGATGTGATTGAGGAGGTGATGGAGGAGGTGATGGAGGAGGTGATGGAGGAGGTGGTGGAGGAGGTGATGGGAGGAGAAGATGGAGGAGGTGATGGAGGAGGTGGTGGAGGAGGTGATGGAGGAGGTGATGGAGGAGATGATGGAGGAGGTGATGGAGGAGGTGATGAGAGGAGGTGATGGAGGAGGTGATGGAGGAGGTGATGGAGGAGGTGATGGAGGAGGTGATGGAGGGAGGTGATGGAGGAGGTGGTGGAGGAGGTGATGGAGGAGGTGATGGAGGAGGTGGTGGAGGAGGTGATGGAGATGATGGAGGAGGTGATGGAGGAGGTGAGTGAGGAGGTGATGGAGGAGGTGATGGAGGAGGTGATGGAGGAGGTGATGGAGGAGGTGATGGAGGAGGTGATGGAGGAGGTGATGGAGGAGATGATGGAGGAGGTGATGGAGGATGTGGTGCAGGAGGTGATGGAGATGATGGAGGAGGTGGTGGAGGAGGTGATGGAGGAGGTGATGGAGGTGATGAGGAGGTGATGGAGAAGAAGATGGAGGAGGTGATGGAGGAGGTGATGAGGAGGTGATGGAGGAGGTGATGGAGGGAGGTGATGGAGGAGGTGATGAGGAGGTGATGGAGGAGAAGATGGAGGAGGTGATGGAGGAGGTGGTGGAGGAGGTGATTGAGGAGGTGATGGAGGAGGTGATGGAGGAGATGATGGAGGAGGTGATGGAGGAGGTGATGGAGGAGGTGATGGAGGAGGTGATGGAGGAGGTGGTGGAGGAGGTGATGGAGATGATGGAGGAGGTGATGGAGGAGGTGATGGAGGAGGTGATGAGGAGGTGATGGAGGAGGTGATGGAGGGAGGTGATGGAGGAGGTGGTGGAGGAGGTGATGGAGGAGGTGATGGAGGAGGTGATGGAGGAGATGATGGAGGAGGTGATGGAGGATGTGGTGCAGGAGGTGATGGAGATGATGGAGGAGGTTATGGAGGAGGTGATGGAGGAGGTGGTGGAGGAGGTGATGGAGGAGGTGATGGAGGAGGTGATGGAGGAGGTGATGGAGGAGGTGATGAGGAGGTGATGGAGGAGATGATGGAGGAGGTGATGGAGGAGGTGATGGAGGAGGTGGTGGAGGAGGTGATGGAGGAGGTGATGGAGGAGGTGATGGAGGAGGTGATGAGGAGGTGGATGGAGGAGATGATGGAGGAGGTGATGGAGGAGGTGATGGAGGAGGTGATGGAGGAGGTGATGAGGAGGTGATGGAGGAGATGGTGGAGGAGGTGATGGAGGAGATGGTGGAGGAGGTGATGGAGGAGGTGATGGAGGAGGTGATGGAGGAGGTGGTGGAGGAGGTGATGGAGGAGGTGATGGAGGAGATGATGGAGGAGGTGATGGAGGAGGTGATGGCGGCGTAAGCAGACCCCCGGCGGCGGAGATAGCGGTGTGATTGCGGCTGTAGCATGCGTGCGGTGCCAGGCGGCGAGCAGTCTGGCGAGACAGGCGGCGGAGCAGGCGAGTCGTAGCATTCGGGCTGATGCAGGCGGCGAGGAGAGGCGGCTTGCTGGCGGGCGGTGCAGAGCGGCGGAGCCTGGCGGCGGTGCAGGCGGCGGAGGTGGCGGCGAGCATCTGCCTGCAGGCTGGCGGAGCAGGCGAGCGGGTGGCAGGAGGCGGTAGCGCTGCTGTAGCATTGCTGCGTTAGCATTCTTCGGAGCAAGCCGAGGCAGGAGTCTGAGCGGCGAGCGATGGCGGCGTGTAGCAGCGGCTGTGATATGCGGCTGTAGCTGGCGGGCTGAGCTGGCGGCTGCGAGCTTTTGCGCGTAGCAGGGTGTCGGCTGAGCAGGCGGCGGAGCTGGCGGTGCGAGATCAGGCGGCTGGATGTGTTGCGTCTGTGAGCAGTCAGCGGAGCTGGCGGAGGAAGCTGGTCGGCGGAATAGCCGGCGTGCGAGCAGTTCGCGGAGGAGTCGGCTGTAGCGCGGCGGAGCAGGAGTCGTAGCATGGCGGCGGAGCTGAGGAGGCGGATGATGGCGGCTGTGCAGGCGGCGCCGCTGGCTGCGTGAGCATGCCCCCTGGTTGCGTGATGCAGGGTCTGAGCTGGCTTCGGTGGAGTCCCGGAGTCTAGGCGGCGGTGCATTGGCGGCGCATGCAGGCGCGGTATCAGGCTGCGGAGCATGGCGTGGCGGATAGCTCGGCGGCGGAGCATGCGTGCAGGCGGCGGAGCAGCGCGGAGTGCATGCGCCTTATCTAAGGCGGCGGCTTAGGGCGTGCGGAGCTGTCGTCGGAGGCGTCGTGCGGTGCACGGCGGCGGTGCTGGCGTCGGAGTGTCCAGTGCGCGCTTAGCAGGCTTGCGTGCAGTCGTGAGCCTGCTGCCGGCGGTAGCTGGATGCATGATATGAGCAGGTGAGCTTGCGCAGCAGGCGGCGTGGTGGCGAGCGTATGCAGGCGGCGGAAGCACTGCGGGCAGGCTGCGGATCCAGGCGGGCGGACAGGCGTGGCGTGTGCAGGGCGGAGCCAGGCGGCGGTGCTTGCGCGGAGCAGGCTGGCTGAGCAGGAGGCGTTAGCTGGCGTGGCGGTGCATGCCGTGCGTGCTGAGTGCGTGGCAGGATGCGCAGCAGGACTGGCAGGATCTTTCGTCGGAGCATTCGGTCGATGTGGAGGCGGATAGGAGTTAGGCTGTGCAGGGTCCGGCTGTGAGCATTTCGGCGCAGCAGGCTGGAGGTTGCAGGCGGCGGAGCAGCGGCGGATAGAAGGCGGCGGGTGGTGTATGCGGCGGAGCAGGTCCCTTATGGCGGCGGTGCGGCGGCGTCCAGGCGGCGGAGCTTCGCGGTGTGCTGGCTGAGGAGACTGGCGGTCGGAGGAGGCGCGGTAGCTGGCGGCGTGAGATGGCGGCGCAGAGCTGCGGCGGAGCTATGTGCCGGCATATGTATCCGGCTGTGCACGGCGCAGAGGAGGCGGTGGGAGGCGGCGGGAGCATGGCGGCGGATCATTGTGCGGCTGATGCAGGCTGGCTGTTCATGCGGCGGATCAGTGCTGCGCATCAGGATGCTGTTCTGCGCGGAGCTGCGGCGGTGCATGTAGGCCGAGGTGGCGAGGCGGAGGATGGCGGTCTCAGCAGTGCGGCTGTAGAAGGCTGGCGTGAGTGATGGGCTGAGCAGTCTTCTCATGCAGGCGGCCGAGCAGGCGGCGGATCAGGCGCGTTAGAGGCGGCGTAGTGAGGCGGCTGAGCAGGCGGCGGAGGCGGCGGCGGAGCAGGCGTGTCGGTTCTTCCGGGACTAGCCACGCGGCGGTGGTGGGCGTCGGAGCTCGCGCTGTGAGCAAGGTCGTCGGTGGTGTATTGTCGGCTGAGCATGGCGGCGCTGCCGTGGAGGCGGATCCTTCGGCGGAGTAGGCGGCTGAAGAGCAGTGCTGGCTTATTAGTGCGGGAACTGGCGGTCGGTGCCATGCCCGGATCAGGCTTGCGTATCTGGTCCTGCTCAGCTGCGGAGCCAGGCGGCGTGAAGGCGGAGCGGAGCGAGGCGGCGGAGCAGAGGCGGGAGCAGCGGCCGGAGCCAATGACGGCGCGGAGAAGCCGTTCTGAGGGGCGGCGGCGAGCAGGCGGCGGAGCAGTAGCGCTTAGCAGGAGCCTGTAGGATCCTGCTGAGCAGGTGCGGCGGTTGCATTCTGCGGAGCAGCGGAGCAGGCGGCGCGTGCAGCGTCGCATCAAGTCGTGTGCTGAGCCAGGCGGCGTAGGTTGCGGCTGATCAGTCGGCGTGAGCTGACTGTCGTGAGCGGCGTCTCAGCCTTGGCGCAGGTAGAGGCTGCGGAAGATGCGGCTGAGCAGGGCTGCGCATGCAGGTCGGCTTGATGTAGTCTGCGGAGCCACGCGAGGTAGCACAGCAGGCTGAGGAGGCTGTTCGGTAGCTGTGTGCGGAGCATGCTGCGGCGGTTCCCTGGCGGCGGTATGATGGTCGGCGTTCAGTGGCGTGCAGGAGTAGTCTAAGCAGTGGCGGCGCGGAGCTAGGAGTGAGCAGGCGGCGGATGCATAGTCGTTCGGCAGTGCCAGGCGGCGGTGCAGGCGCGGTGCCAGGCGGCTCTGCAGTAGGCGGAGCAGGAGGCGGTGGGAGGCGTGCTGAGCTGGGCGGCGCAAACAGTCGGCGGCTAGCAGTGCGGCGGAGACTGGCTTCGGAGCAGGCGCCGGAGTCTTGGCGGCGTGACCAAGCGGCGGAGAAGAGGCGAAGCTGGCGTGCGGAGCAGTCGGCGGTGCTGGCGGGGAGGTGGTGGCGTATGTGCCTGGCGGCGGGGAGCAGTCGCGGTGTGTCTGCGTATATGCAGGCGGCGAAGCAGGCGGGTAGTGGAGGCTGAGCAGTGCGGCGGTGCTGGCGCCGTGCTGGGAGGCGGAGCAGGCGGCGGAGCTGGCGGAGGTGCTGCGGCGTGAGCTCCGGCGAGCAGGAGCGGTTGCTGGCGTGCGGAGCAAGGGGCGGCGGAGGAGGCGGCGGGAGTCATGCGGAGGTACCAGCGGCGGTGTGCAGCAGGCGGACTGGCTGGCGGTGAATGGCGGCGTGATGCGGCGGGTGCTGGCGGAGGGTAGATTGCGGCGGTGCTCGGAGGCGGTACGTACCAATCCTCTGCTGGGCCTTCTTGATGAGGAGCTGATGGTCGCTCCCACTTGAGGTCCAGGTGATGGTGGTGCCCAGGAAACAGAAGGACTCCACAGAGGTGATGGAGGAGATGATGGAGGAGGTGATGGAGGAGGTGATGGAGGAGGTGATGGAGGAGGTGATGGGGGAGTCCATCACGGAGGGTGGGGGCAAATAAACCTGAACAAGTCGTTACAGATCCAGGACTGAAGCTATAGACCCAGGTCAGTCCTGTAGACCCAGGTCAGTCCTGTAGCCCCAGGTCAGTCCTGTAGACCCAGGTCAGTCCTGTAGACCCAGGACTGAGGCTGTAGACCCAGGTCAGTCCTGTAGACCCAGGACTGAGGCTGTAGACCAAGGTCAGTCCTGTAGACCTAGGACTGAGGCTGTAGACCAAGGTCAGTCCTGTAGACTCAGGACTGAGGCTGTAGACCAAGGTCAGTCCTGTAGACTCAGGACTGAGGCTGTAGACCCAGGTCAGTCCTGTAGACCCAGGACTGAGGCTGTAGACCCAGGACTGAGGCTGTAGACCCAGGTCAGTCCTGTAGACCCAGGACTGAGGCTGTAGACCCAGGACTGAGGCTGTAGACCCAGGTCAGTCCTGTAGACCCAGGACTGAGGCTGTAGACCCAGGCCTGACCCAGGTGTTGACCCTTTGTTACTCAGAAGAGCCACTGCAGGACTGATCTTTGGCCACTCACAGTTTTCCACCCGCTCACCAGGGGGCGCTGTCTCACTTCAGAAATGTCGGTCTCTTTGGTTTCACCAAAATAGATTTTCTAGGCATCAATTTCAAGTCGGTATCACAACCAACCTCTAATAAATTGAAACAAAAGCTGTGTTTCAATCTGGAAAGACTTGAGACATTATAGATTCCATTATTATATTTATTGATCAGATTTGGCGATTAGACCCCGGCAGGAAAACTGCATCACATGCAGAGCCGGGTTTAATGAAGACTGAGTTTGCGACCCCCCGGGGCCTGGAACCTGGTGGAAGAAGCTGAGCCGAAGACATGACATGATACTGCACTGAAGAAGAGGTGATGGGGAGGAGGAGGGTTGCTGCTCGATCAGAAGCTGGAGCTGCAGAGAACTGAGAGGCACTGATTAAATGCAGCCATTAAGTGATGACACAGGTGTGTTACTGAGGGGGAGGAGCCAGTGTAGAGGGAGGAGTCAGTGTAGAGGGAGGAGTCAGTGTAGAGGGAGGAGCCAGTGTAGAGGGAGGAGCCAGGAGCTGCAGAGAACTGAGAGGCACTGATTAAATGCAGCCATTAAGTGATGACACAGGTGTGTTACTGAGGGGGAGGAGTCAGTGTAGAGGGAGGAGCCAGTGTAGAGGGAGGAGCCAGTGTAGAGGAAGGAGCCAGTGTAGAGGGAGGAGTCAGTGTAGAGGGAGGAGTCAGTGTAGAGGGAGGAGTCAGTGTAGAGGGAGGAGTCAGTGTAGAGGGAGGAGTCAGTGTAGAGGGAGGAGTCAGTGTAGAGGGAGGAGTCAGTGTAGAGGGAGGAGTCAGTGTAGAGGAAGGAGCCAGTGTAGAGGAAGGAGCCAGTGTAGAGGGAGGAGCCAGTGTAGAGGGAGGAGTCAGTGTAGAGGGAGGAGTCAGTGTAGAGGGAGGAGCCAGTGTAGAGGGAGGAGTCAGTGTAGAGGGAGGAGTCAGTGTAGAGGGAGGAGTCAGTGTAGAGGGAGGAGTCAGTGTAGAGGGAGGAGTCAGTGTAGAGGGAGGAGCCAGTGTAGAGGGAGGAGTCAGTGTAGAGGGAGGAGTCAGTGTAGAGGGAGGAGCCAGTGTAGAGCGCTGCGCTACAGTCAGGCCTGGAGGTGACTTATGCCAAAGTAAGTGCAGTAAAGGGGTTTGGAGCTAAATGTTCTGCTGTTTTTGACTCTTTGGGACCCAGCAGACTCTGGTGTTCTGACTCTTTAGGACCCAGCAGACTCTGGTGTTCTGACTCTTTAGGACCCAGCAGACTCTGGTGTTCTGACTCTTTAGGACCCAGCAGACTCTGGTGTTCTGACTCTTTAGGACCCAGCAGACTCTGGTGTTCTGACTCTTTAGGACCCAGCAGACTCTGGTGTTCTGACTCTTTAGGACCCAGCAGACTCTGGTGTTCTGACTCTTTAGGACCCAGCAGACTCTGGTGTTCTGACTCTTTAGGACCCAGCAGACTCTGGTGTTCTGACTCTTTAGGACCCAGCAGACTCTGGTGTTCTGACTCTTTAGGACCCAGCAGACTCTGGTGTTCTGACTCTTTAGGACCCAGCAGACTCTGGTGTTCTGACTCTTTAGGACCCAGCAGACGCTGGTGTTCTGACTCTTTAGGACCCAGCAGACTCTGGTGTTCTGACTCTTTAGGACCCAGCAGACTCTGGTGTTCTGACTCTTTAGGACCCAGCAGACTCTGGTGTTCTGACTCTTTAGGACCCAGCAGACTCTGGTGTTCTGACTCTTTAGGACCCAGCAGACTCTGGTGTTCTGACTCTTTAGGACCCAGCAGACTCTGGTGTTCTGACTCTTTAGGACCCAGCAGGGTCAGCAGTTTTGCGAGCGCATTGCTTGGTTTGGTTGATATCTTGAAGATTAGGAGCCATTTATGGCTTTGTTTGTTAAAAGAAGGATTTTAAACTTTATTCTGTACTCCACAGGAGCCAGTGGAGTGATTTTAACACCGGAGTTATGTGCTCCCTCCTTTTGGTGCCTGTTCAGATCCTTGCTGCTGTATTCTGAACCAGCTGGAAGCTCTTCAAAGAGGTTTAGGGCATACTGCCAGCAGGGGGCGCTACAGTCAGGCCTTAGGGAGACAAAAGCTGGATCAGTTTTTCCGCACCACTTTTAGGATATTCCTGATTTTAGGTCATGTTGTTCAGGAGGATAAACACAATTTTAGTTACTACACACAGACACACACACACACACACACACACACACACACACACACACAGACACACACACACACACACACACACAAACACAGACATACAGAAACACACACACATACAGTATACACACAGACGCACATAGAGACATACACATGCACACACAGAGACACGCACACACACACAGAGGTACACAGACACACACACACAGATACACACACATACGCACACACACACACACAGACACACACGCACACACACACACACGCACACGCACACACTCAGGTGACAGCTTTACTACTCGCACTTGAACATGACATTTCCCCGATGATCTCAGCCCTCTGCACCTCCACAAGTGAGTGAGGCTGACGGGTGTGTGTGTGTGTGTGTGTGTGTGTGTGTGTGTGTCTGTGTGTGTGTGTGTCTGTGTGTGTGTAGACGGTCACGGCCTCCATCATCATTATTATTATTATTAGACCACAACAGCTCAGATCACTGCACGTCTTCACTCCATATGAAGTATGAGAGAGAGACCAGGGAGAGACCAGAGAGAGACCAGAGAGAGACCAGAGAGAGACCAGAGAGAGACCAGAGAGAGACCAGAGAGAGACCAGAGAGAGACCAGAGAGAGGCCAGAGAGAGGCCAGAGAGAGACCAGAGAGAGACCAGAGAGAGACCAAAGAGAGACCAGAGAGAGACCAGAGAGAGACCAGAGAGAGACCAGAAAGAGACCAGAAAGATCAGAGATCAGAGAGAGGCCAGAGAGAGGCCAGAGAGAGACCAGAGAGAGACCAGAGAGAGACCAGAGAGAGACCAGAGAGAGAGATCAGAGCGAGACCAGAGAGAGACCAGAAAGATCAGAGACCAGAGAGAGACCAGAGAGAAACCAGAGAGAGACCAGAGAGAGATCAGAGAGAGACCAGAGAGAGGCCAGAGAGAGACCAGAGAGAGACCAGAGAGAGACCAGAGAGAGACCAGAGAGAGACCAGAAAGATCAGAGACCAGAGAAAGACCAGAGAGAGACCAGAGAGAGACCAGAGAGAGACCAGAGAGAGGCCAGAGAGAGAGACCAGAGCGAGACCAGAGAGAGACCAGAGAGAAACCAGAGAGAGACCAGAAAGAGACCAGAAAGATCAGAGAGAGACCAGAGAGAGGCCAGAGAGAGACCAGAGAGAGACCAGAGAGAGGCCAGAGAGAGACCAGAGAGAGACCAGAGAGAGACCAGAGAGAGACCAGAGAGAGAGACCAGAGCGAGACCAGAGAGAGACCAGAAAGATCAGAGACCAGAGAGAGACCAGAGAGAAACCAGAGAGAGACCAGAGAGAGATCAGAGAGAGACCAGAGAGAGGCCAGAGAGAGACCAGAGAGAGACCAGAGAGAGACCAGAGAGAGACCAGAGAGAGGCCAGAGAGAGACCAGAGAGAGACCAGAGAGAGACCAGAGAGAGACCAGAGAGAGGCCAGAGAGAGACCAGAGAGAGACCAGAGAGAGACCAGAGAGAGACCAGAGAGAGACCAGAGAGAGACCAGAGAGAGGCCAGAGAGAGACCAGAGAGAGACCAGAGAGAGACCAGAGAGAGACCAGAGAGAGAGACCAGAGCGAGACCAGAGAGAGACCAGAAAGATCAGAGACCAGAGAGAGACCAGAGAGAAACCAGAGAGAGACCAGAGAGAGACCAGAGAGAGACCAGAGAGAGACCAGAGAGAGACCAGAAAGATCAGAGACCAGAGAGAGACCAGAGAGAGAGACCAGAGCGAGACCAGAGAGAGACCAGAAAGATCAGAGACCAGAGAGAGACCAGAGAGAGACCAGAGAGAGACCCGAGAGAGAGACCAGAGAGAGACCAGAGAGAGACCAGAAAGAGAGACCAGAGAGAGACCAGAGAGAGACCAGAGAGAGAGACCAGAGAGAGACCAGAAAGATCAGAGACCAGAGAGAGACCAGAGAGAGACCAGAAAGATCAGAGACCAGAGAGAGACCAGAGAGAGACCAGAGAGAGACCATAAAGATCAGAGACCAGAGAGAGACCAGAGAGAGACCAGAAAGATCAGAGACCAGAGAGAGACCAGAGAGAGACCAGAGAGAGAGACCAGAGAGAGACCAGAGAGAGAGACCAGAGCGAGACCAGAGAGAGACCAGAAAGATCAGAGACCAGAGAGAGACCAGAGAGAAACCAGAGAGAGACCAGAAAGAGACCAGAGAGAGACCAGAGAGAGAGACCAGAGAGAGACCAGAGAGAGACCAGAGAGAGACCAGAGAGAGAGACCAGAGAGAGACATTTATGTGTCTGTTATCATTACATGTGTATGAACTTCTCTGTTGTTGAATGAGTCGGAGCTGGACCCACTTCCTCTCGGCTGTGATTGGTCGGTCTGTACCTGGTCCCTGAGGGGTCGGCCGGTCACAGGTCAGGGGTCAGGGGTCAGAGGTCAGGCAGCTTCCCGCTCGGCTGAAGTGAGCTCTAAACATATGCCGTGACATGTGCGCGGTCACGTCTGCCCCAAAATAACCTTATCTGCCTCAGGTGCCACTGGAAGAACCACATCAGGCTGACGTAATGTGGGATCAGCCCGGGCAAGTCACACGGACCAGCAGGAGCAGAGGGACCAGCAGGAGCAGAGGGACCAGCAGGAGCAGAGGGACCAGCCGGAGCAGAGGGACCACTGATCTCCCTCTCTAGTCCCTCTCTGGTCTCTCTCTGTCTCTCTCTAGTCTCTCTCTGGGGTCTCTAGTCTCTCTCTGGCCTCTCTCTGGTCTCTCTCTGGTCTTTCTCTGGTCTCTCTCTAGTCTCTCTCTCCTGTCTCTAGTCTCTCTCTGGCCTCTCTCTGCTCTCTCTCTGGTCTCTCTCTGGTCTCTCTCTAGTCTCTCTCTAGTCTCTCTCTCCTGTCTCTAGTCTCTCTCTGGTCTCTCGCTAGTCTCTCTCTGGTCTCTCTCTGGCCTCTGCTCTCTCTCTGCTCTCTCTCTGCTCTCTCTCTGGTCTCTCTCTAGTCTCTCTCTCCTGTCTCTAGTCTCTCTCTGGTCTCTCTCTATCTCTCTCTAGTCTCTCTCTGGTCTCTCTCTGCTCTCTCTCTGCTCTCTCTCTGGTCTCTCTCTGGTCTCTCTCTGGTCTCTCTCTAGTCTCTCTCTCCTGTCTCTAGTCTTTCTCTGGTCTCATAATTCAGAGTGTTTATGTGCAGACTCACCTGTTTCATTCTTGGTAACGCCTGAGGCTGCCAGTGTCCGGGCTCGTGCCGGTCACCTCTCGCTCTGGGTCTATTCTGGTCTCTCTGCTCAATCATTAGCTCGAGCTGAGAGCAGTACGAAGACACGTACAGACGCTTCAGGTTCCTCTCATCCCAGATTCACTTCCAACAACTGAGAGTGAAGAGTTTCATGTGACATCAATACGTCCCAATGAGCCCACGGTATCACACTGGTCCCTGCTAACAATGGTCACCTTCAAAAGTCTCATTCTAGTCTGACTTTGGAGCTAATGTTTCTGTAATTCCTGGAACAATCTTTCACCTCCTTGTCCTGCGATGTTCAGAACAGGCCTAAGGTGTCGCTCTAGTCTCTCTCTGGTCTCTCTCTCTTCTCTCTCTCTGGTCTCTCTCTGGTCTCTCTCTGGTCTCTCTCTCTGGTCTCTCTCTTGCCCTTCTCTGATCTTTCTCCGGTCTCTCTCTAGTCTCTCTCTTGTCTGTCTCTGGTCTCTCTCTGGTCTCTACACTGCAGTGATTATTCCAGAGGACTCCCATGGTCTTCCCGTAGCCCTCAGTCCTGGTCCATGGTATCACCCTGGTGCAGAGTCCTCTCTCCTCTGTGACAGACCCAGACCATGGATCGAAACCAGTGGTGACAGGCTCCGGAGCTGACGGTGAGGCTGCATTAGCTGAGCCTGTCGCCGCTGACAGCTTTTATTACTCTGCTGCTAAGTGCATCCGAGTGACGGCAGCTTCAGCCGTAACAGCCGCAAAAGCCGCACCAGCCTCAGCCGTACCACCAGCACCCACTGGGACCATGAGACACACATGGTACAAACAAGACCTACATTTCAAACAGGATTCCACCACATATTCAACCAAAAACTCCAGGCCACTCTCTCTGGTCTCTCTCTGGTCTCTCTCTGGTCTCTCTCTCTGGTCTCTCTCTCTGGTCTCTCTCTCTGGTCTCTCTCTGGTCTCTCTCTGGTCTCTCTCTGGTCTCTCTCTGGTCTCTCTCTGGTCTCTCTCTGGTCTCTCTCTGGTCTCTCTCTCTGGTCTCTCTCTGGTCTCTCTCTGGTCTTTCTCTGGTCTCTCTCTCTGGTCTCTCTCTGGTCTCTCTCTGGTCTCTCTCTGGTCTCTCTCTGGTCTCTCTCTCTGGTCTCTCTCTCTGGTCTCTCTCTGGTCTCTCTCTGGTCTCTCTCTGGTCTCTCTCTGGTCTCTCTCCGGTCTCTCTCTGGTCTCTCTCTCTGGTCTCTCTCTGGTCTCTCTCTGGTCTTTCTCTGGTCTCTCTCTCTGGTCTCTCTCTGGTCTCTCTCTGGTCTCTCTCTGGTCTCTCTCTCTGGTCTCTCTCTGGTCTCTCTCTGGTCTCTCTCTGGTCTCTCTCTCTGGTCTCTCTCTGGTCTCTCTCTGGTCTCTCTCTGGTCTCTCTCTGGTCTCTCTCTCTGGTCTCTCTCTCTGGTCTCTCTCTGGTCTCTCTGGTCTCTCTCTGGTCTCTCTCTGGTCTCTCTCTCTGGTCTCTCTCTGGTCTCTCTCTCTGGTCTCTCTCTGGTCTCTCTCTGGTCTAAAATAATCTATTAATCTAAAACTCTAATTTTAGCCCATGGTGATGTCACATGCACTTTACCTTAAGTGGGACATAAAGCTCTCACATAAATCTATCACTGTTTTGATCAAGAGATGAACTGTTAAAATGTATCAAGATAAAAGACACAAGAGAGGAGAGAGGAGAGAGAAGAGGGGAGAGAGGGAGAGAGGAGAGAGGAGAGAGGAGAGGGGAGAGAGGAGAGAAGGGGAGAGGAGAGGGGAGGAGAGAGGAGAGAGGAGAGAGGAGAGAGGGGGGAGGGGAGAGGAGAGGGGAGGAGAGAGGAGAGAGGAGAGAGGAGAGAGGAGAGAAGGGGAGAGGAGAGGGGAGGAGAGAGGAGAGAGGAGAGAGGGGAGGGGAGAGGGGAGAGGAGAGGGGAGGAGAGAGGAGAGAGGAGAGAGGAGAGGAGAGAGGGGGAGAGGAGAGGGGAGGAGAGAGGAGAGAGGAGAGAGGGGAGAGGAGAGGAGAGAGGGGAGAGGAGAGAGGGGAGAGGAGAGAGGGAGGGGAGAGGAGAGAGGGGAGAGGAGAGGAGAGGAGAGAGGGGAGGGGAGAGGGGAGAGGAGAGGGGAGGAGAGAGGAGAGAGGAGAGAGGAGAGGAGAGAGGAGAGAGGAGAGAGGGAGAGAGGGGAGAGGAGAGAGAGAGAGGGGAGAGGAGAGGAGAGAGGGAGAGAGGGGAGGGGAGAGGGGAGAGGAGAGGGGAGGAGAGAGGAGAGAGGAGAGAGGGGAGGGGAGAGGGAAGCGGCCGGAGCGGATCTAGGCAGTGGTGCCTTCGCTCGCGCGCTTGATTCTTTCTCTGATTTTCGCTTCTCGCTTTCTCTCGGTGCTCTGCTCCGTCGCTCTGGTTTCTCTTCTCTCTTTGACTCCTTCCCTCTTGTCTTTTTGCTGTGTGCCTTCACTTTTCTTTTCCTCGACTTTCTCTCTTTGCTGTGTCTCTCTCTTTTCGCTGTCTACTTTTCTTCTCCTTCTTCTCTCAATTCCTCTGTGTACTCTCTGTGCACTCGTCGCTCTTCTCTCTTTCTGCGCTTCTCTGTCTCTATCGCTCTTTCTCTTCATCGTTTTTTCCCCTCGTCTCGTTTCTGCTCGCGTCTCTCTTCTCTTCGCTACTGCTCTCGGATCTATTTTCGTCTTCGCTCTTCGTCTTCTCTTTCTCGTCTCCGTCCTCTCTTCTCTCTTTCTTTTCTCTGGTCTCTCGCTTTTCGTCTCGCTTCTCGCCTCTCGTTCTGTTTCTGGTGCTGTTTCTGCTTCTCTCCTGCTCTTCGTCTTTTTCTCTTCTCTCTTTCTTCTCGTCCTTCTCTTTCTCTTCTTCTTCTTCCTCTTTTCTTCTTCTTTCTCTCTCTTTCTTCTCTCTTCTCTCTTTTCTTCTCTTTTTCTTCTTCCTTCTCTTTCTCTTCTTCTCTTCTTCTTCTCTCTTCTCTTCTCTTCTTCTTCTTCTTCTCTCTTTCTTCTTCTCTTTCTTCTTCTCTTCTCTTCTTTCTCTTTCTCTCTTCTCTTTCTCTCTTCTCTTCTTCTTCTTTCTCTTTCTTTCTTCTTCTTCTCTTCTCTCTTCTTCTTCTTTCTCTCTTCTCTCTTCTTTCTCTTCTCTTTCTTCTTCTCTTCTTCTTCTCTTCTTCTTCTTTCTCTTTCTCTTCTTCTTCTCTTCTTCTTCTTCTCTTCTTTCTCTCTTCTTCTCTTTCTCTTCTTCTCTTTCTTCTTCTCTTCTTCTTCTTCTCTCTCTCTTTTCTTCTTTCTCTTCTCTTCTTCTCTTCTTCTCTCTTTCTTTCTTCTCTTCTTCTTCTCTTCTTCTCTTTCTTTCTTCTTTCTTCTTTCTTCTTCTCTTCTCTTCTTTCTCTCTTCTTCTTCTTTCTTCTCTCTTTCTTCTCTTTTCTTTCTTCTCTTCTTCTCTTCTCTCTTCTTTCTTCTTTCTTCTTCTCTTCTTCTTTCTTCTCTTCTTCTTCTCTTCTTCTCTCTTCTCTCTTCTCTTCTTCTTTCTTCTTCTCTCTTCTCCTTTCTTCTTCTTCTCTTCTCTCTTCTTTCTCTCTTCTTTCTTTCTCTCTCTTCTCTCTTCTTCTCTTCTTCTTCTTTCTCTCTTCTCTTTCTTCTTCTTCTCTTCTTTCTCTTTCTTCTTCTCTCTTTCTTCTCTCTCTTCTCTTCTCTCTTCTCTTCTTCTCTTTCTCTTCTTCTTTCTCTTTCTTCTCTTCTCTCTTCTTTCTTTCTTCTTTCTTCTTCTCTTCTCTTCTCTTCTTCTTCTTCTTCTCTTCTTCTCTTCTCTCTCTCTTCTCTTCTCTTCTCTTCTTCTCTTCTCTTCTCTTCTTTCTTCTCTCTTTTCTCTTCTTCTTCTTCTCTTCTTCTCTTCTTCTCTTCTCTTCTTCTCTCTTCTCTTCTCTTTTCTTCTCTTCTCTTCTTCTCTTCTCTCTTCTTCTCTTCTTCTTCTCTTCTCTTCTCTTCTCTCTTCTCTTCTTCTCTTCTTCTCTCTCTTCTTCTCTTTCTCTCTTTCTTCTTCTCTCTTCTTCTTCTTCTCTCTCTTTCTTTCTTCTTCTTCTCTTCTTCTCTTTCTCTCTTCTTCTTCTTCTCTCTTCTTCTTCTCTTCTCTTCTTCTTCTTCTCTTTCTTCTCTCTTCTTCTTCTTTCTTCTCTTCTTCTTCTCTCTCTTTCTTCTCTCTCTTCTCTTTCTCTCTCTTCTCTTCTCTTCTCTCTCTTCTTCTCTTCTCTTTCTTCTCTTCTTTCTCTCTCTTCTCTTCTCTTCTTCTTCTTCTCTTCTTTCTCTTCTCTCTTCTCTTCTTCTTCTCTCTCTTCTTCTTTCTTCTCTCTTCTTCTTCTTCTCTCTTTCCTCTTCTTCTTCTTTTCTCTTCTCTTCTCTTCTTCTTCTCTTCTTTCTTCTCTTCTCTCTTCTTCTTCTCTTTCTCTCTCTTCTTCTCTTCTTCTCTTTCTTCTCTCTTCTCTCTTCTCTTCTCTTCTTTCTTCTCTTCTTCTTCTCTCTTCTTCTTCTCTTCTCTCTCTTCTCTTCTCTTCTTCTCTTCTCTTCTCTCTTCTCTCTCTTCTTCTTCTTCTCTCTTTCTCTTCTTCTTCTCTCTCTTCTTCTCTCTTCTCTTCTTCTCTCTTCTTCTCTCTTCTTCTCTTTCTTTTCTCTTCTCTCTTCTCTTCTCTCTCTTCTTCTCTTCTCTTCTTCTTCTCTTCTTCTCTTCTTCTCTTCTTCTCTCTTTCTCTTCTCTTCTCTCTTCTCTCTCTTTCTTCTTTCTCTCTCTTCTCTCTCTTCTCTTCTCTCTTCTCTCTTTCTTCTCTCTTCTTCTCTTCTCTCTTTCTTCTTCTTCTTTCTCTCTTCTTTCTTTCTCTCTTCTTCTTCTTCTTCTCTTTCTTCTTCTCTCTCTCTCTTCTCTCTTCTCTTCTCTTCTCTCTTCTCTTCTCTTCTTCTTCTCTTCTTCTCTTCTTCTCTTCTCTCTCTTCTCTTCTTCTCT